ATGAGGAATAGGGGAGGCAGGGTTTGCCCCGTCTGCCTCTCGGCCCATGTACTACCAACTGGGACAGGACTGAGTCTCCCTGGAAGAAAGATGACACAAAAGCCGGGAAAGAGGTGTGGAGAATAACCTTTAGCACTTTGTTTTTCTAGGTGCTTCTGTCACCTGCCCTGGCTCCTGAGCTAGACTGTAAAGGCCTTGAGGGCGCGGACCGCGTGTCCACTGTCAACCTTTAATCTCCTCCAGCGTTTGGCACGTTGCACCTCCTGCAGATGCCTACACAGCAAATTGTTCATTAACTGGAGTCCTGGGGGGAGGGGGGCGGTCCTTGTCCTGATTAAAGTATAAGCTTTATGCCAGCGGTTCTCAACCTGGGGGTCACGACCCCTTTGGGGGTCGAACAACCCTTTCACCGGGGTCGCCCGATTCATCACAGTAGCAAAATGACAGTGATGAAGTAGCAACGAAAATAATGGTATGGTTGGGGGTGACCACCACATGAGGACCTGTATGAAAGGGTCGCGACATTAGGAAGGTCGAGAACCACTGCTTTATGCAAAAACAGTGTATTGAATAAGAGCTTAACAATGTTTAATGCATCTGCACTGTAAGCCGAGGATCGTTCTCCCCACACCTACTCCTTTGTGCTCCATGGAAGCCACACCAAGCACACACACACACCCTGCCCTAAAAGTCAGGCAGAGGCTGAACACTGACCTAGGAGGCCAGCACCGCTGGAACTGGGCAGAGCTTTCCCTCCAGTCCCCGTGCAGTAGCCTCTGTCCTGTGTGAGTCTCTGAGAACAGCAGACAACCTCCAGACTGTGGGTAGAACTGTTCTCCCATCTGGCACTCCTGCTCCGGTTCCAAGAACCAAAGGTTTTCCAGGGGAGCACGTCCTTGGTTCCCAGTGCTGCCGGTCCAGAATCACTCGCCTGCCTCTCCCGGGGGTCTCCAGCTCAGCCGCAGGATGATCTCGGAAGGGGGCCCAGGGCCCAGTCTCAATGTATGGTCTTCAGGTCTGTGAGATCGAACTGCTGGTGATGAGGGGGCACACAGTCTGGACCCCTCCCCTGGCTCTCAGACCATCTGTTAGGGGCTTGGTGAGGGGGCAACCACCACCTCAGAGGAACCAGGGGACTTAAAACTGGATGCCACAACCCAAACCCATGAGAATGAACTTGACCTCACAAGCCGATGGGTTCTTTCCATTGAGCACATGCCCTTCCGGCACGGTGGTCACGCGTTGGGCTGCTAACCACCCGCAGCTCCGAGGTGACCGACACCTTCGTTCCTGGAGGGTCTGGGCCGCAGTCACGGTGGTGGTGGGTGGGTGGTCCCTGTTCACCTTTATCATGGGCCGTGGTAGCAGCAAGAGACAGCCTATGGAATCTCCTGGGCTCCGGACCTATTCTTCTTTGCCCCCATTATGCAGTGTCATTCTGCGTTCCCCGTGGGAACGGGATCAATCACACCAGACAATACGGTAACTCCAGAAGCATGCTGACCCGGAGCATAAGAAGCCCAAAGTGGCGATGGCAATCAACGAGTCAGTGCTGGGTCTCCAAGTGAGAGAAATCCTCCCCCCTGAGGCTAAGATCTCCAGACTCAAAGCACATAGGGTCACAGGGACAGGAGGCAAAAAGGGTGCTATTACTGGGTCATTCCTTAGAAGCCATCGTGAGTGGTGGCACGACCGGTTCCACCCCTCGGTTCCTGGACCCTTGAATTCTGGCTGTGACAGAAAAAACACCGTATAGCGGATGCTGGTTTGAAGCCTCCTGGAGAACATCGCCCCACTCCTGCAAGGTCTTGTCACTCAGCTGGCACCGTGACTGTGTCTTTAGGGGTCCAGGCCATCATTCTAGCAAGCCATCTGGAGAACATGGTAAGACCCGGGATCCCTGAGCAAGGGCCCACGGCCACATTTCACTTGCTCTGAAGGGAGCCCCGTGACCTAAGGTGAGGCTTTGTCAGCGTGGATAAGGCATTCTGTGAGTCCACAAATGGCGGGCTTGGCAGATGCACTGTGTGCAGGGAAAGCCACCTCTGCGTCCAGAGTGCCTATTCCAGGGAGAAAAACCGCCGCCGTTGCCACGAAGAAATAGTCATGACCGTGCCTTGTTCGTGAGCCCCCGGGACAATGGCAGCGCTAGCTGGGAAAAGAGGGTGACCAGTTCCCACACAAATCTGTCACCTTACCCACTTGATTGTTGAAACCCTCCTCTGTAAGGGGAGTAAGTTGGGGTTCATAGGAGACACAGACACCTGCATCATTAAAAACGCATTTTATTGGCATATGGGTCATTGACCGTTCGCTTCCATAGAGCAGCCGTGTGCAAAGGAGCTGTGCGATCGATCGTCGCCACAATCAGCTCCAGAACACGTTCCTCCCTCTTCTGTTCATCAGGAGCTTCCCATTTCCGCCCAACCTCCCCACACCCACCCTCTGCCCAACCTCCCCACACCCACCGGCTGCACCACGCCCCTATGAGCCCCTAATCCAGTTACTGTCTTTATCGCTTCACCCATCCTGGGCTTCATATCTTGGAAAACATACAATCAACCAATCAATAAACCAGAGAGAGAATCCCCAATCAAGAAAAAAGCAGGAAGTATTAAAAACTAGAACACAATTTAAATGAGTCAAAAGGGAGATCAAATGACCCGGTATTCCATTTTAGCCTGATTACAGCTGCCATAACAGAGATGCCGGTACTCTCTGTCTGATGGCAAGGCTATTCACATCCTTCAACTATGGGCAGAGGGGGTTCATCAGAAGTTTATGGGGACCCTGGGAATGGATTTTGGGTTCCCACTGCCATCCATTGCCTTCCACAAAGAGGGTGTTCACAATTTAAGCTCTGATACCATCCCCCCTTCCTCACCAGTGTCTGATCTCTTTATTGATGGTGGTATTGGACTTATTAGTCTGGCCGCTTCGTGCCATGCATTAGCAGTGCTCTCTTTACTAGTGGAGGCAGGGATCCACACCTTTGAGACATGTCAGAAACTTGAGAACCAATTCAGAAAATGCATCCTTATAATTTTGTTTCTCTAGAACCACTCTCAGTAAAGAATATCTTCGGCTGGGTTCTAGAGAAGAAAAATCAATGAGGCTTGCCTATTTATTGGGATTTAACTCCAGGAAATAAATGGCTGCTACGGTTGTAAAGATCGGCAAGTTCCAAGTCTGTGGCTGTGCCGCTAGGCTGCCGGCTTCTGAGTCAAGCAACTGCAGGAACAAATAAGCCCGATGTTGGTGGCTATGATGGTAGGCTGCTGCCTCAAGCTGTCGTGGACAACAGCTCCTAGAACCGACGGGCAATACAGCAGGCCGCTGGCTCAAGTCTGAAAAATGAGAGATGATGAGCCAGGTGCAAGATCAAGTTCCAGCAAGGACCAAAGGAGATCTGGAAGAGCATCCGCCCATATCAGAAGTAGGCCCCGCCCCGGAAGAAACTCCCTTTTGATTGGCTCCGCACAGCAGAGCTCATGTGATGGCATTATCTCAGGTCTCATGATGGGAGATGACTGTATCATAACTGTCAAACCACATGAACGACGGCCCACCATGGGTTTTTTCACCATCCCAGAGGGAGTGAGCTGGTGCTGAAAGATCCTTTCACCAGACCTTGATGGGTTCCTTATCCTGCAACATGCCCCAATGTCTGCATCATCAGAAAGCATTACTCTTCCTCTACGATAATATCAGGAATCCAGGGATGTAAGTTCTTCCCTCACAACCCTCTTCATGCTAAACTCAATGAGTTTAGATCATTTCCCTTTTTATCTTAATTATTCCATCAGATTTTCATCATACTCCTCCTCCCCCTCACCTATCAACTCTCTCACTCTCTGATATTTCACATTTATGTCAATAGTACAAATCTACTATCCAAAAAAAAATCTACTATCCAACTATTCTGCACATGAACAACACCCATCTGACAGTAATGAACACTAGGGTGCTAGGCAAGAAGAAAGCCACTGGGTGGGAGGGCTCAGGTTATGTGTCAGCTTGGCTAAGCCGTGATGTTCGGTGGTTTGGCGATTACACAGTGATGTAATTTGGCGGCTGTATAAGGATTTCATTTAGCCGTTCATGTCACGGTGTCATCATCCTCCACTTGGTGGCATGATCTCATCCTTCTCCTTCTCACGTCACCCCGATTGTCCCGTAACAGCCTTGGGAAAATGGGGTGGCAGGTGCAGTGGCCTCCTCTAACTTCATGAGGGAAGAGAATTCACAATTCACAAAGCGCTGATGTCTATGAAATGCAGTAAAACATGCCTCCTCGCCCCAACCTCTACCAATGCTGACCGCACTTGTCCTTCTCATGCCACTCACTCTCCACTCTGCTGGGCGTGGCCATCCATTGCAGTGGGCTCCCAGAACTCACAGACAGCACTAGTGTTAGTCCTGGGTAGACCAGAGAAACAAATCCATGGGCACACATATGTGTATAAGAAAGACATTCATATACAAGAGCAATTGAACATTGAGAAAACATCCCAACTCAGTCCAGATCAAGACCATAAGTCCGATATTAGCCCATATGTCTGATACCAATCTATAAAGTCCTCTTCAGACTCACAAAACACATGCAATGAAGCCAAACACAGGACGATCACAAGCCAGTGGGTAGAAAGTCTTTGGGTCCAGTGGCGTTGTAAGCATCTCAGCGCTGGCAGGGGTCTCTCTGTGGCTTCTCCGGCTTCTGAGGTCTGGTTGCATCCATGTGGCTTGTCTTCTGCAGTGTCTCCCAGAGAGTAGCAGAGAGAGAGGTGTCTTCTGCCTCCAAGGAGGAAGTACCAGATTTCCCAGAATTCTCAGGAGAAGGCCATGCCCACATGGAAGTCTCATTGGCTAACTCCAGATTGACAGCCTAGACTCCACCCCTACACTCTTAGTCCTCAAATTAACACCAGATCAGGTGACCACCACAGTCCTCATGATTACCGGGTTTATTGGAGAAGTAACAGACTACATTTCAGGATTAGAAAGAACTCGGGATATCCTTCAATCAGGACAGACTCATCTGGCCACGCCCACAGGAAGGCTTCCCTATGGCCCTCGGCCCTCCATTTCTCAGGCAAGTCTGGCCTCTTCATTGCTCAAGCAAACTCTTTATCTCCTCTACTAAGTGCCTGGAGACCCTGTGCCTTGCTCAGTGGGCCAGAAACTCGACTGTGCCATCTCCTGCCAGTTTCCTCGCTCTGCTCCCTCTGATGCCACCTTTCTCTGTCAGTGCTTCCTACCATTCCTTGCTGTAGCCCATGTCCTCTGTAGCCTGGGTCATGGAGGTTACTGGCTCAAGGAATCCTGGGTCTGAAGGATGTGCTCCACTACCA